CCAGCACTGCAAGTTATAAATGAGAGGTATTCAGTCTCTAAGGATGCTAAAACCTGAAAACCATCCTTGGACCAAGTTAACAACAGATGGTGACTCTGAACGTGCCTTATATCACACTCAACATGTAGACTCACTGTGCCTGTCTGATAAATCCCACTGTCAATGTATGCAAATTATTATTCTAATTCATAGTAAAGTCTACTATAGAGATTCACCTAATACATTTTATAATCTTTAATAATCTGCTTATCTGTGTGTCACCACTATTCATTATTATTGCTTGTATTATTTGTTGATTTATGGTGATATATGGTGTTGGTGGAGTGGGTAATGGGTGCTCAAAATCTTTTAAAAATGTTCTAACTTTAGCGTTGCCTTAACTGCCAGGCTTTTTACAAACACGAAAGACTGAAGGTTTTTTCTCGCTCTTCTTCCTATTTTGGATTTGACTGACATGTTTGCTTGATGAGCATCACCTGTTCGTCTTTTCTCTCCTGACGGAAGTCTGTTCGTCTTCAACTGCACGTTCTGTTTTTTTTGTTTTCTTCATCGCCCTGTTAGCATCAGATCACACTTGTTGCTTTGTACTTCCTTAAATGAATCAATAGTTTTTCACAGCACTTCTCGTCATAGCAGGGAAAGCACAGGTGGAACTGATTACATTAACGTTGGCTCCTAACGACAGTGCCATGCGGCAATTAGTGATGTTATTAAATATACCTGTGTTTGACAAGTCAAAATATCTGCTGTGAAAAAACTTTTGATTAACGCCACATTTTACCCCAGGTCATATAGTAGCAGCGGGAAACCGGTTACCTCCTTGTTCACATCTTCATATCAAAGGTTACTTAGGGTGTTTCAAGACATTGGCAAACAATGACTCATCTTAGACTCGTGTTAATCAACAACAAAGCAGAGCGTGATAGCTCTCAACCACAGTAGGAACTTTAAGCTTACCGTGGAGAAGTCAGTTTCCTCCGCTGTGTCATTTTCTTCCTCCCCTGCAGCAATTACAGTGTCTTCAGACTTAATGACATCTACCTCTGGAGAAATACACACAACACAATGCAATCAGTCCAAAGGCAAATCCTCCAAATACAGGAATCAATAACAAGTGTTTCCGTGTGAAAGGAACTGAGACTTGTCTATCCTCAACGCAGATCCACTGATGAGTTAAGATGGTGTACAATAATGATGCAGCAGCTTGTGTCTATAGTTTTTATTTACTATTGAAACTTTCCTGAAAGGAAAAGTTGCCATGGGGGAAAATAACCAGTTGAATATAAATTAATTTATCATTCTCTGATTAGAAAAACAGAAAGCAAATGGTCCAGTCTATTATATAATTATCTGAGGATGGGCTAAAGGAATCTGTCTTGGTTTGCTTTTGGGAGTGCACATAACTTTTGACTTTGTTTTGTTTTTAAGCCTCCACTAGAATCAAAGTGCATGTTCACGTCTTCATACACAAAACATGAAACAACAGAAATGTTGTCTCTGATGTCCTCATGAGGTTACCTGATGCTAGTCCACTATCAGGCTGTAAACATATCCCCCCGTTCATTATGACACCCCCACTCTCTGTGTGACGCACAGCACCGACCTTGCCCTTGACCTCTCTTTATTGGACTTGGGTCCAGTACAATTATTCCTGATGAGTGAAAATTGCAGACAGAGTGCTGGAGAAGAGAGAGACTCTGCAGCTCTCACTTCCTGCTCCATACTCACATCAGCTGGCTCGAGTATGTTTGTTCTGGAGGACCCAGCCTTCTGGCTGTGCGTCTAAGACTCGGTCACATGCACTGGTAATGTGACTGTGCCTGCTGACGTATACTGTAGCACAGTTTGTGCAAGTGTGCATGAGACAGAGCCTAACAGAGAACATATGAATATAAAGGGAAGTGTTGTCAGACTATGCATGGCCTTAGGTACCGAAGTGTAACCCGGCTCAGTATTTCCTGTTACGTAATATGTCACCATGCATCTCAGTGTCCCAGCACGATGATCCGGCAAATTCAATGTGCTACTGTGACATTTTAGGGAAAGTGTTTTAAAATAACCTCAAATAATCCTTAAGAATGACTAAAAGCTAAATCCTCATTAGAAAGACAATTAGAACAAAAAAAGCAGAATGACTAACCTAAACGTGTCTTCGCACCAGCAATATATCAAGACAGGATGTCACACAAAAGCCCAAAATATCTGTGAGCGCAATTATGATGGTCTAGGTTGCATTTAGCTTCGTGGAGCTATTGCCATTAATCACTAGAGGAAGACCGAATCTGATTTAGCATATTTTTTTAGGAATGAGACTATGACAAACATATTGCCCTGTGATGTATGTGAGTGTGTGGCACTAGAATAAAGCAGAACTTCAGCGTTTCCCCCACCTTGGATTTCACTGTTGTGACTTTCTGAGGCTCCATCCACTGTGTCAAGAGTCTTTGGACTTTCAGTCATCTCATTCTCAACAGGAGGTTCATTGGATGCCTCATTGTTTGGACATGACAGCTCTACTTCAGCACTGTCTGAAAGCAGAGGGATACTCTGAGATGGAGATGCATCGATCCGATTCTCTGAGTGTCTTAATCCCTCGTCAGGTGACCTTTCATCTGCTGTCATCTCTAAATTATCCTGTTTCTCTTGCTGTAGCACAGATTGCACAGGTCCACTCTCCTCTCCAGAGGCCACCACAGATCTATCACTAGTCTCTGGGCACTGATGATCACCTCCAACTGGGGGGCTGGTCACTTCGGTCTCTTCTGCAACTGAGTGACCGGGTTCAAATGACCCCCCACTGGTAACCTCTGATGCCGGATGCTCAGTCTCTGCATTCAGGTCAGAGCTGTTGGACTCTCCAGTTTCACTTGCATCAATATTCACTGTTGGAGAGCCCTCGCTCTCTGACAACACAGGACCTAACAACAGATCCTCTTTGGAAAGTTCTGGGACAAGTTCCTCTCCTGCCCCCTCAGGATTCAAAGCCTCCATTGTCTGAGAGCTGGGTGGCAGTTGCGATTCAGGCTCAGTGCCAGTCTGGTTGCAGTCTGTCACTGTCTCTGCACTGACAGCGCCCAGCTCCGAAGGGAGCCCTGCGTCCACAGTAGGCGAATGTTCATCGCCTTCACCAGGGCTCACATCATTTGATTCCTCCATCATAGATCCTGCTGAGGAAAGTTCTGCTATCTTAGTCTGGGTTATGTCCAAATCTGGCTCCTCCACAGTGGCACTGTCCTGAGTGGAGTGGAATATTTCTGTTGTGGAGCTTCCAACTGATCGGAAACTGCCATCGTCATCACTGGAGAGGCCGTGAGCCACGCATGAATCTAGATCAGCTTGTCCATCACCAGAGCTGGGCACAACTTCAGGTGATTGCTCACAGTCGACTTGATCAGTCCGTGTCTCTTCCGTGGCGTTATCAGCAGACTGACAATCCTCTGTATGGTCAGGTTCATCCATAGTAAAAGTAATGCTTTCTATACTGCATCCAGAAGGTTCAGCTACGTCCTCACCATCTAGCTCTTTACAACTAGCTGTTCCAGTACAATTCCCAGAATGACAACAAGTTTCTGGAGCCCGGCCCTGCTGCTGCTGCTCTGTGGCGTAATCCCTACCAGCTGTTTCCTGGTTTTGTTCCAGGCTGTTTATGTCTGGTGGAGGTTCCCCCTTGTGGAGGCCTTCTATCAAGAGACGTGAAAAAGCAGGTTCAGGATCCTCGATTACATCACCGCAGTCTATCAGCGATGGGTTGGGGAGGTCCCCTGGGGTTGTTACAGGGTCTGTTAACTCTTCATTCTCTACCTTCTCCTCCTCGTAAAAGAGTCTATCCGAGAGATCCTCGATCAGTTTCACCTCTTCTCCCTCGACAGTCTCTCCTTCCTGAGAGCAGTCCTTCACCTCGGAATCAGAGTTGTCTGACACCTCTGAGCCGCCTGACGACGGGGATTGGCCCATGACTAAAGCTTTCGTGTCTCCACTAGTCGTTATTAGATCTGTTGACTCAGAGCTGGCCTCCTCTTCCCTCCTCCAGGCTGTGCTGTCCTCTTCTTCCTGCTCACATCTGTCCACTCCCTTTGTGGCCTCCTGTCCTTCCCGGATCACAGCCTCTCCTCTATCAGTTTCCTCTGCCTGTTTACCACAGCCTGCTGGTGGTAGTGTTCCCACAGTGAGGCTTGCCCCTTCTGGCTCACTCTGTGCTTCTTCACTCCTGTCACACAAACTCAAACTCTGGGTGGAAACAACAGGCTGCTCCCTTCCCTCCTCCTCTGTCTGGCAGTAATCTCTCTCAGTGTTTGAACTGAGACACACCCGCTCCTCTGGGGAGCCAAGGCCGTGCTCCTGGGGGCGTACTTCTGATGTTGGAGTACTCACAGACAAACTCCAGTCTTTCTCCGCATTCCCAGGTTTACTATGTTCACAGTCAACAACGCTGCTTTCCACTGGGCAGTTTTCTACCCAGCTGCCTTCAGTTGTTGTATCCAAGCAATCTGACGCTGTAGCCGGCTGCTGTAGTTGCTCCACACAGGTTATCTCCCTTTTGACACCATCACAACATTCAGCAGCTGTGTGCAGGCACTCAACCTGCAGCTCCAGTTCAGAAACTCCCTGCAGAATATAGAAAAAGGAGGAGGATAAACGTTAGCTTTTCCCTCAGAGAAACAAACAGAGCTGCTCTCTACGTCTTATCAATCGCCGACTCAGTGATTGCACAAGGTGTTCCACCGGTTATACAAACTAAGTTTGAAGGTTAAAAAAATGAGGGCAGTGAAAAGACAAACAATGTCCAACAATGTTCAGTGGCAGCAGGGGCCCTGGTTGAAGCCAACGTGAGTAGAGATATCGTGCTAAAAGGGCAGGATGGTGTGACTCACCTTGGCATGGAGATGGCATATCAAGTGCAGCAGCTGCTCCACACTCCTCTGAAGGGTCGGAGGTTCGCGCCCAGGGTGGATTCTCAGTGTCAGGGTGTGCGTGTTCAGCCTGGGGAGGTGGCAAATTACGCGGGCATCTGTAGGGACCAGGTGGACGCTCTCAGCGCCTTCGTCCGTCTCTGTGTCTGTGTCAGCCCTGTCGTGAAATAAACACTTAGATCATCCCGACTGGTCTATAGCGTGATTGGCTAACACAACACAGAACTGCTTTTCAGAGAAGGTTTTAACAGTGATGTCAGCCGGTCCACACTCACACTTTTCCTTCCATAATCCACGTGCTTGCTTGGTTGTTTTTTTTTTTTTTTTTTTTTTTTTTTCCAGAGTGGGAAAGGCCAGAAGTCCATAATGTGGTTGTTATTTTAGTCTATTCAGGCCTTGTAGCAGGTAATCAACCAACCTACAGAGATACTGTCAGGTAATAAAGTAGCTAGTAAATGTTAAAAAGTTCCAGACGTTGTCGACAGTCAAAAGAAAAAAAAAAAAAAAAAGTTACTTCCCTTCCCTGTGGTAAAATCCAGCCTGTGATAGCCTACATAAAGACCACTCCTAGTCGATAAGCTTTCCAAGAAATGTTCACTCCCCCTGCTGCATTTGCTCTAAGTGTTGAAGGTAAAAGTATGTGCAGTGGGTTTTTTTTCATGAAGATAGCGCTGTAAAGAGGAGACACCTAAAATGTTTGCGTAATCCTGGGTGGATTGCTTTAACTGCGAGGCCCAGCAGCTGAGGTCACATAGCCAGGCTACGAGTGACTTCACTTTTTCATGAGGGAAATGTAATTACCAACACATAAAGAGAGAGAGCTGTAAGTTGTAAAGCAACTCCAGTGCACGCTTGGCAATAAGCACGCTCACTAAGTGGTAGTTGTCTTTCAGCTTGTGGCATCTTCATTTTGAGTTAAGTGAAAACTATTCTTCAGCAGATAAGTGGAGCGCTTAAAAGACATAAAAGGCCTCTATTTCCTCTTTAAGCCATGTCTCAGTTCATTTACCAAAAAGCTGTTTTTTTTTTTTTTTTCCCCTGCAGTTTAATGTTGCACTATAAAAGGATGAGAAGAATTTGACCTCACCAGTCGCTCAGAAAGAACACGTTACTGGGGATTATACCTGACAACTGCAAACAAAACACTTACATCTCCCTGCCATTACACTCTACAGAGACAATACTGCTGTATGTTTGGCTTACAGTACCACATAGTGAGATGTTGTATTGTGGGGAGGTTCTACGGCAGGTCAGGAGACACAGAAGTCGTAACCCAAGGCTTTTGTGTTGTGGAATAGTTTCCCATCCTTCTGGATTCCTTTGGAACGATCCCGGCAGCCCACACCGTTTCAATTTGCCCTCAACTATCTGACTGCAGCTCGAGAGTGCTAAACTATAAACTGTGCTGTGGCTTTGTAGTGATGTTCTTTGGATACTTCCATTGTTTCATCAAGACAACTGACAAACAATGTTGTCTGAGAGGGCTGTGGAGGAACCACGCCATCTAGTCTCTGATACATTGACATTGGCTGTTGAAACTGCCAATGAAACTGAGCCAGTATCACTGACAAACACTGTGGAGACAGTTTAGACAGTTTAGGGGTAGGTGTTGTGAAGAGTCTTTACACCTGAAACTAAGCATGCGATGTGATAAATCCTATCAACAACAGTGGAAACAGCATGAATCCAAAATAACAGATATCAGCGTTTGTCAACTTTTTACAATTTAAAGGCATTTCAGTATTTGATTTGCGTGTTTTATACTACTTGTTTTATTTTTAATTGTTTTTGAAGCTATGTCAAAACTGAAAAAGGACTGCAATGAAAAGTTTTACTATTATACTGTGTCATTGCTACAGAACAGCCTTTGATCCTCATGTCGAAATCGGTTTGGTACTTACTTCATGAGGAGCTCGTGGAGGCGCTCGTGTCCCCGTAAAGCAGCAACGGCGGCTGGGGTGTGGCCTTGTCTGTTGGCCAGTCGCAGGGCTTCTCTAGCTCCAGACTGCCGCAGCAAGAAGCGCGTAACCCGAAGCAGACCCCGCCGAGCTGAGAAATGCAGCAGAGTCTCCTGAGGATTCAGGTCTGAGGATGAGACACAGGATGACAGGTACAGTATTACAGAAAGAATAAAACTACATGAGATCGAGAACATAAGAGCAACAAGGAAAGAAGCAGAGAAAGACACTTGAGTGCAGCGGTGCAGGCAGTCGGTTTGTGTCGTAGTAGCTGACATACCACCACTTGCAGCAGCTTGGCAACACCACAGTGTTAAATTAAAGTGACCCGGTAAAGAGCAGACCTTTACACATTTACACACTGATAAAACCACAGCTTGTCTCTGTCTGTCTGTAACAATGGTCCAATGCATGTAGGCCAATACAGTCATTTCTGGATTAAAGCCAACATACCACTTGACATTATTATTAAACTGGACATTTTTGTGCACAAAATGATAGAATATGTCAAGTTTTTGTGTTTCACGGTTCAGGACAGTGTGGAAAAGCATCTGAAGCAGCATCTAATATGTGGTAACAAAACAAACAAATCATAGCAACAACAATAATGATACATTTGAGAAAATCAAACTACACTATTTCATTTTACCAGAGGTGAGCCACACTAAGTGCACTAGGCTCCCATTTTTAATTAAAGCTCATTATTGGCCCCATTAATCAGTCTGACTCCTAATAACACCATCAAACACTGAATTCCTTCCTTTACACATCCACAAAGACAGTAATGGAGATTCATGGAAACACACACACACACACACGCACACGCACACACACACACACACACACACACACACACATGAATGGATGTTGGTTATTTCAGAAATATTCTCATCTCAGATTGAATCTGTGTTTTGTTAATGCGAGTCGCCCAATCATTTCTGTTAATATTAGCATATTTTACTGCCCAACCAATTGCAAATTTATTGTCAATTTAAAAGGGCACCCTGTGATAGGGGGTACCAGAGATTGGGAGTGAGTGAAGTTCAATAAATGGTGATTTCCCAATGAAAAGTGGAACACACAGATCATTAGAGAGCAATAAAAACCTTAATAAGCTAAAACTCTAGACAGCTGTATATGTTCAGCTACCCAGATGTGTTGAAACGCAGAGTCACTGCACATAAAATGCTCATGTTTATCAAACCAGCTGGTCTGTGGTTATTTTCACACAGCAGAAATTACAGGGAAGAGAAAACATCTACAATTGTTGCTGTGCCTCTGCCTTATTAATAACATTAAGTTTTACGCTTTAGGTTTCATTTGTTGCTGCCTGTGAGCAGAGGATTTTTCTCTCTCCAGTGTCCATACAAAAAAAACAGATATTTATTTGAGAAAACAGGGAAAATTCATGGTTTTCTACTTACACAGGAACTCCTCTGTGATTTTTTCAAGGACTTTTAAACTGTGGCTTTATAGGTTTCAACAGTATGATATAATCAGTTATAAAATAGTATAAAAAACAACAACAACACCAACAATATCTGCACCAGTTTTAGTTTATGTGATCAGCCCCACAATAGTCATTAGGCAACATTCACAATGCTGGTTGTGTCTGCTGATGAGAGGTTTCACTCCATTTACAGCAGGCCAGTCTGTACCAGCCTGCCCTGATGAACCACAAGCTAATTGGTCAAATTTAATGCTCTACTTAGCTGAGCTATGCTGGACTGGAATGTGAAGTGCCAAACAGCAGCAGGAAATGCTTTACTGCTGAGTTTGATGGCGGTTCCTGAAAACTGACTGCCATAACACCCATGACATTTTTGTACGATGGCATCCATGTGGCTCGTCTGGGAAATACATGTAATTACAGTTTCTTGCTGCAGTACAGCAATGCCCAACATAAAGTGGCTTAACATTATGTTGGGTCACCATGAGTCTCCAAAACAGCTTGGCAGAGATCCTAACAAGCTGGCTGCTAGTTAGCTTTGCTAGCTACACAATGGTCAAATGTTTCCTTACTTTGTCCAATTACTGAAACCAACTCTAACAAGCAATAAAAGAAACATTTATTTTATTTATCAATTAAGCTGTCTATTGTTTTTGAAATGATGATTGTATCTGCATAATTATAATAACTATTGGATGGATTGCCTTGAAAGTTGGTACAGAAATTCATAGATAGGTCCCTTGAGGATGAACTGTAATAATTTCAGTGATCACCTCACTTTTCATCTAACATCATCATCAAAGTTGTAATCTGTCCAATACTCTGGTTTATGAACATGAAATACCTGCATATATAAATGGTATTCCAATCAACTGTTGCTGCATTTTATGATTAGTGTGTGAGCATGCTAACACGCTAAACTAAGAAGGTAAACATGGTACACATTATACCTGCTAAACACAGACACAATAGCATGTTCATCTTTAGTCACAGCACAAGCCCAGTACGTTTATATACTTTTCATTTAAAGTAACAGTCTATGTATCAATCTATCCATAGTAGTGGATCTAGCTAGATAGCTTGCCAGCTGCAAACTCTTTAATAATTAATAGGTTATCAAAAGTTTTAATGATTGAAATGGATGATGGACATATCTAATAATTGTTCCAGCAGGAAACAAAAAAGGCCTATGAACACTAGTGTTTATTTCACAAACACACACCACATTGGTGTTCATTGACAAACCATAGGCTAGCTAATTTGACACTGAATGTTATTAATTGTTCAGAACTGGTGAATTACGTGGGCGTCGTTCACCATTTTCAATAACATGCACAGTTCTTCCAAGAGCAGTGAATTTCCCGGAGGACAATAAATGGCTGGCTATGGTGAGATCAGTGACTGCTGCGTGCCCACAGCGTAAAGGATGACTGAGATAAACCACCGTCACCTCCACCTGTAGTCTGCTGCTATCCATCATCTGACAGATCTGATAAATGGAGAGCAGAATTGCACTCCTCTTCCTCCCCACAGTTCACTGCAGTTGAGCGTCTTGTATTGAAGCGCTGACATATTGTGGAGCACAGCCTATTAGAGCTCACATCACTCACCGCAGCTGGAAGCCGCCTTCCACATCAACAACATGACAACAGACTTCAGTGCAAAGGAGCCAGTGTGTGTGTGTGTGTGTGTGTGTGTGTGTGTGTGTGTGTGTGTGTGTGTGTGTGTGTGTGTGTCCATCTCTTAAAAGCCATAACACGTTTCACAACAGTAACATAGAGGATCTTATCTAATCAGGAGGGAGTTCATTACTGAAAATTTGATTTGATGAGTTTTCTTTCCAGGCTCCAAAATAATATTGAATAAAACATTTTAAAGGAGTGTGTAGACTTTCAATCTCCACTGTACACTGACTCAATTTTCTCAGCTCATTTTTTCTCTGTTACAAGACTAAAATCCTGCTGGTTCTGCTGGTTTGGTCTAATATCCAAGTCCAAGTTAAACCATAAGCTATTATCTTAACAATAGCCACAGGCAGCAGCAGAGCTCTAACTACTCCCAAAAGTCTTGTTTATGCTGCTTCAGAGAGAGCAATTACCTTGCAGAGTTTATCATCCCATCAGCTCATTTGGCTTCCTTTAACTGATTAAAGTCATCAGAGTCAATGGCTGGAGAAAATTGGCACTTTGATTTTAATAAAAATGTATGTTTGTTTGGACTGACACGGCCATTTCTCACAAGCCAAACTGCTGTCTGGATGGGTTGCAGGCAGCACAGGGACCTGCTCTGTTCATACTAATGCCAGTTTCGGATCAAAGTCCAGCAGAGACATGTTGTCGTGTTCATGTCCTTCTGTAAATACAAACTACCAGCTACACTGAGCGCACATGAACAATCTATTAGTAATTGCAGGGGGATGTGTATGTGAGTGTCATGCAGTGCTTGACAGAGGGTTACAAGACAGTTTATTAAAGAGTCTTTTATCAAATAAAAATGGCTTTATATTCTGGTTACAGCATCACAAATGCTATAATTTACTTATGTTTCTCCAATACCTGAAAAGTTGTTTTTTGGCTACTGCTCCAACTAAAACTGGGTTTATGTTTTGCCCAAGGGGTTAACAGCAGTGCTGCTATAGACAACTACAGCGAAGGTTTTTCAACAATAAATCTACAGCGGAGGTGATATCACCACTGCAGCACCGGATGGATGTGTCATACGTGATCAGGCCATATTGTGCTTTAATTATATTCCTCATACTGCATTTACAATCCTTTATTTACTTTGTGATAAGAGACTATTCCTGTGCAATTGCCTTGTCAACATTTTGCATTCAGCGTGACACACAGAAAGGTGATCACAACGAGCAGTTGTTTTGCAGTGGAGATGGTTTTGTGTGACGTGTTATTGAAGAGGAGCAGATAATCTTCACTGGTGTTAGAAACTTGTGGGAGAAAACACAATCAGCCAAAGCAATCATTGTGGTATCATTGTGGCATCTCCGTCACGTGTGACTTGCAGTCGCATTTCTGAGGTGATGCACGTCACATAGATACAGCTGAGCCTACGACTATAAGTTGTAACCCTCCTAATAACTTTTTATTGTTAAGATTATTATATCATACATTTTATCAAAATATATATGTATTACAATAAATTTCCCACAAGTTAGAAATTATATATATGACTATATCTGTCACAAGACTGTATCTTGTCAAAACTAAGCGATTCATTTGTTGATTTGTTATTATAAAACATGTCGTAGATCATAAAAATATTATAGAAAATAAACATAGCTGAAGTTTTTATGTCATTAATCGCACACATCAGGCATGAGTCTTGCTTTAGTTTATGTGTCCAGCATTTTGGATGCAAAAGTTGACTCAATGCGTCTTTCCCAACAATGTAAAAGTCTACCAAGAGTCTATAGGTGAATCTGAGCTGCAGGCAGAAGTCATTAATGTGGGGGCACGTCATTTATAAACCTGTGTATGACACTGTGATATGTGTAAAGGATTTCATTTAAGCACCTCTGCCAAGAAATATGTTCAGGAAATCCCATAGAACAAGGTTGTACACTGAAAATACAGTCATCAAATGCCATTAAAATAAAGATTATGATCTACATCTTTCAACAAATTGTAGTTCAGTTTTAACAGAGGACACGTCTTACTACCTTATCTGGCTAAAATTCCCCTTTTACAGCATCAGATGTTTTAAAAAAAAATTTAATGTAGAAATTGAGAGCTAGCAAGTAATTCCTGCTGTGTTTAGTCATCTAACTTACTTTACACAGCACGTTTACATCCAAACTGTGGAGGTCGGGCAAAGGCTGTGTCATAACCAGGCTTACAGACTAGTGTTTTGAGACCGAATCACTTTAAATTAACCGCATTCACACAGATTACCTTTGTGTGTTGGAGGGGAAGACGGCCGACCATGTTTAAACTAAACATCAGTGCTTCCACTGTCAGTGTAAAATGTTCGCAGTTCCACTCCGTCACTGTAGTGGTAACGGTGGCTGTGCTTGAGAGCACAACACACAAATCAGCCACCAGAGCCGTCAATAAAGCTAGAAGTTAAGCAGGAGTCACATCCAATGAATTAGCAGACACAGACACGCACACAGAACATGGAGATAGTACAGTGCAAGTCGTGCGCCTACATCCACGCCCCGCAGCAATCACTAGCAATGTCTCGTTGTTTCGACCAGTAACTGTGGCACCGTTCTGAAAACGTAATGCTGAGAGTGCGCGGTCTTCCTAATTTCATCGTTAAATGTCAGCACTGGAAACGATATGTGGCGCACAGACATACACACGAACACGAGAGGCGCCCTGTGTGTCATTATGTGCTGCACAACTATAATTTGTCAATATGTCTCTGCACCAGTGCGAGGACATGTTGTGTGACTCTTGTACATTTTACTGTGTGAGGAAATTACATGTTACAGTCAGCCAACTGCCCCTCAGTCTCACCAGTGCTGTTGATTAGTTTGTTTCCCAGTAGGCTCCATCCTGGAGGCAGCGCAAGGTGGTGGAGGGCCAGCGCCAGGCTCTCGTCCAGACGTTCACACTCCTGCAGAGGAATCTGACACTCATCCAGCAGCAGCGCCCCGTCGAGGCCGTCGGCCCGGCCCGCTGTGCTCACCTGTGTGGAGGGTGATTACAAAGATGAGTCAAGTTTTACAGAGGAGGAGCTGAGGCTTAGTCTACTGGAAGCACTCGTTTTAAGACGCTCAGCATAAGAGCATTAACCAAATGCCTAAAATGTAAGATGTAAATGTAGGAGGACACATCCACACGCGTGTATCAGGGATAAGCTCAATTTGGACCTGCGCTGTGTTGACAAAAACAAATCATATTCAGATTAAAAAAAAGTGAAAAATGTTCTATTAGAAGCTTCAGGTCTGAGTGCTCAAGACACATTTTATCTCATCCTCCTCCCTGTAAAAACAAACTCTATATAAAACGTCTATGGGATGATAAACTGTGGTGAAAAAAATTAATTAATTGAATACCATGGACTGTGAGACATCAGGCCTTGTCAGGGAAGAAACACTGACATGGTAATCTTTTTGTTTTACTATCACTCTGCCAACATTGCTGTATCACTTGTTATCATTGGTAACCACTTTCCTCTGTGACAAGCCTCAGTTTTTGTGCTCATTTTACAGCTGATTTAGAAATGGAAATCACACGTCGTCCTGTTGCTCACCAGAAACTGGGCCATGTCAAAAGCCAAATCCTGGACGAAGCTGAATCGATGCTCAGCCAGCGGTGCCACATGACCCAGACAGGGTTTTAGGTCCTCAGGGGCCTCAGGGATGCCTCGGCTAAGTGAACACAAGGTGACCAGCACCGCCTCGCAGCAGTCATGAGCTACAAGACAAAACAAGGAGGAAGGAGACAGGGAGACAGGAAGAAGGGGAGGGGAAGGAATGAGGAGGAAACAGAACAAAACAACAAATAAAAAGGTTACAGTCAATATCATCAGTCCGTCTGTGTCTGGCCTTTATCAATTTTAAGTATAAGTACGTCTCTTTGTTGTATGAGCATTACTTGTTTCCAGCTAGTTGTGGCTAGCAAGGCAACTTTAGCAACATTGTAGTCACTGCATCACCAACACAGCAAGTCACAGAAAGTATAAAAATGGTGAAAGCAAAATCAATAAGCAATGAAAGAACTGTGATAGTAAATGTACAATAATATCCTAACATCCCTGCCTTCATGAAAACTTTCAATCATATCAACAAGATCAGCTGAAGAAATACATACAAGGTCCTGTTCAGAGCTGGTATTAACATCTGACTCAGGTAATCCAATCACAAGTGGACAGCTTTAAGTTCAGGTGTGAACGCACCAAAGACGCATAGGCGATGCATTTGAGTTCCAATCACTCAGAACAAATTCAGAGTTTGTCTGAATATAGTCCCTTTGGAAGTATGTATTCATCCGCACGCCAACTGTATCATATTTAGGTGCAGCAACAACACCAAAAAAGAAGAAGAAGGAGAAGAAGAAGTCTCCAACAACAACTACAGGCAAAATGGATTCCTGTGGATTGAATACACACAAAACGCACTGTCTGATCAGTACGATGGCAACTAGAAGATTCAAATCATAACCAGGCGATTTTTGAGGAGAAAAAAAATGAAAGAATGGAGGGGAATGGTTGATCAGTGCATCAATGCCAACGTAAAATCAAACAACACATTTGGTATGATGTATGTATTTCTTTGCATAGAGCCGGCGGTGAGATCTGACCACAAGTGGTCACTCGAGACACATTTTAATGCCAGGTGTGAACTGGCGTGTTTAGAGCTGTCCACTTGTGATCGGATCACCTGAGACTAATGTTAGTGCCAGGTGTGAACACAGCCTGTGAGCTGTCGGCTCTCAGATGTTCTGTTGTTTGCATAACTTCTGTGCTTTAGCCAGGTTTATCCAGGAGAGGAGATGAAACGATCACACACAGTCACAATCCAAAACCCACATTAAACCAACAACATATTATTCACTTGACATCACAAATTTGTACAACAAGAACCAATCTTTAACAATAATCAGCAGCAGCACTGTGTAGACTTGCACTGCTGATTCAAATCCAAACCTAATTAATACAAATAAATCGTAATATTATTTCACTCGGTGAAATGCATTTCAATTCATCCCACTGATTCAGCAATCACAAATCAAACTTCACCTACCAACAAATTAACAACACAACATGTTATCAATTAAATGAAAGTTCAGGCAAATGTGTTTTCAGTTCTCACAACAAAACGAGTGAACAAAGAGGATGGTGGCCAGTGTCAAAACACAGCTAACACAGAATAAAGGCTCTACACGGCTGCACTGTGATGCAGCGCTGACAGACTCCCTGCTCCTAATTTACAAAGCCTTCTCCATTAATCTGCCTCCTCACCAAATGCCAAGTAAAGTGCTGTTGGGTGCAGGACTCCTTGTCACTCTATCAACTAGTGCTGAACTTCCACAGCATCCTGTGCATCTGATTCCTACTATATCAGAGCCATTTATTGAGCACACTTTCTATCATTTACTCTGTCAGCTCATTAACATAAACGGTCAGCTCAAGGGCACCTCAGTCCAAGCTGAAGTACTGACTCATTGCCTCTGCAGTGATTTCCCAGGCCACCTGAGAACTCTATCCTGCGACCTTCGGGTCGGTCACGGGACCGGTCCTCTGGAGCTCTGCATGTCCTGATGGAGGAAGCAGTGAAGCAGAGCTAATCTGGAGTAACACCTCTTCACCCCCCACCCCACCCCCCTTCTTCAGACGGCTGTAATTCAGTCGAGCTCTTAACAAGATAATGGAGTTGATCATGTTCGGCCTTCTTTTTTGCCTGTGGAGAAGGCCGAACCTTGAGGAAAACAATGAGTTAAACAATGTTTTTTTAATTTGTCCCTTCTCTTTCCCAACACGTGGCTACGATCCATTTTGAATAAAGAGTCACAAGTATTCTGTGTGTTTTACCTCACATTTTCTGCGTACAGTGACCTTTGACCCCTGATCTCCGTGCTGCCTGTTGTGGCTCATTCACCTGAGAGAAACTATCTCAGAAAAACAGCACTGGCTAAACACGTTCGGTTTTGCGAGTAGAGTAAGTGGGATGCGCTCCAAGCGGAGTGATAAATGAGCCGGGCTCTATAAAACCTAAAGTGAGGTGATTTCTCTCTCTCCAAAACACAACATTAGTTTAAAAACGAGGACAGTGGTGGTGGATGATTAATCATTTATTACTTCGACTTTCTTCCGCAGCTATAATAACTCTTGACTGTCCAATGCTCTCTGTGTGACGCGAGGTCAGAATAACACCACCCCCTTCTTAAATACAATTATTGTTTTGCACAGTCTGTGATGGTTTGGCTTTTGGCACTCCTTAATGTTAATTTTTGGCTATAGCACATGATGGCTATAGAGGACTGACCACTAAAGGAGATCTTACTTTTCACTTTTTGGTAAATATGATTATATTTATGCGGTGATACTGACTGAAGTTTGCAACGATGCTGCCTTCAGAGAGCCTTAACTTCGTGTTTGTATTTACACATACTAATCTATGTAAATATATTGTCCTATCACTGAACACAGACAAACAGGAGGGAAGAATTAAAAATAGATTTAGCATGTATTAAAATACTGTAGGTGGAGCTGCCTTCCCACAGGTCCATTAGAAGTGACAAGGAAGTCGCAAGGCATTGTGGTTGGGGTGGCTTACCGGGACACACTGCCTGCAAGGTGTCATGACTGCTTCTTAGGGTGCTGGTCAGGTGCCTTTGTGTGCTGCCAGCAAACAGCAGGAAGTAGTCCACGCCCTTTTCATCCGCAGCCAGCTCTTCATCAGCGAGCTGCACTGTGATAACACACCGCCCCTGCAGAGACAGGCAGACAGCCAGAGGAAATAAGATAGAGAAAAGCACAAAGAGAGAGAGCAAGCAAGAAAAATAAGCAACAGATATTTAGAGAGATATCACAGTGAATTTGTATAAATTATTATTCCATCATATTAAAGGAGAGGAAATGACTGGTTGCCTTGAATCTGAGTTGTGTCTGTGTTGTACTTTTGGTTGAACTTCTGCAGTTTGAAAAGTGAAACTGGAGTCATTTTTGACGAAAAACTGTAGCTGGTTCCGTAAAACAAGCACATTTTTTTATCTATGCATCCCTGACATCATTAAAAGACTAGTTGGACTATATAGTGTGTGTATAATTGAACATATGTGACAATATGAGTTTTGAAATCAACAAACGAGGCAAAAAGTACCACATCTAATCTACCTCAATCTTCTTCTCTAGCAGCACAAGTGTGTCAGTTTATCTGTTTAGCCACAGATAAAATCAAATGTGATCAGGAGAGTAAAGTCCATTAACAGTTAGTCACTTAAGATGTAATAAAGTCTGATTCCGATGTCAGGTGTGAGCTACAATCCTTCACAACTGGATCTAGTTATAAACTGGATCTCTGGATAACCAGATCTAAACCAAGCCAGAAAAGATACTGTGGAGGCTTCCGGTCTTCACACAACCACACTTGTTTACCAGCAATTAAAGTAATGCCTCAAAGTTAATATGGTAATGATTTATTGATGTTAAAATGCTGCACATCACGTCATTAACAAACACGGAGGCACCAGACAGTGATGAAACACGGAGGAGCAGTTTGACTTTGTGAAGACTCTATGGGCGAGCTCAGTCAGTTTCAGCCTGCCGAGCAGACGGAGGATGATAAAACCGTTTTACAGAAGGAGGAGGCGACATGATTAACAGCAACAATCTATCGGTGCTTTTTTTTGTTTGTTTTTTGGTGGGTTTTTTTTGTTTTTTTTAAATACTGCACCCTCATGCATCCATGGAACATTAATCAAGGTCAAGGCTCTTTTCCAGAGTCCTACTTCATACTCAGATCTTTCTTCCCCTGAAGTACACTGCACTGGTGGTTATTATTGAGTGTACTAATTACATTGAGTGTACTATGTACTAAGGTGCGAACATTATCTTAAGTGGCTTACTAGTTATCTTACCGCCCACAGCAGTACCCAAGCATTGCTTCAGAGGCCAAGAGTTAGCAATACCATTAGCTGACTACATTCGTTTGTAGGGTCACAAGTTACGTTCAAAAACATCTCATTCACATTCCAACTACCACACACACTGTTAAGTATCTCCGTGTTGTGTGGAAGTTGGTCCTGGATGCTCAGGATTTAGACAAATATTATAGCAACTCTGTCCTGCTCTTTACTGCATTCAGGGAACTTTGCATGGCAGAAACCCCAGAGAAGCATGTCACCTAAGATATACAGTGGTTAGTCCTCAGCCTAAAAGCCCATTCTCTTGCAACATTAAAAGTAAAAACCAATAGAAAACATGAACTTGGCTGCTTGACTTAAGCATGACCATCAAATGCATATTTAAGACTCTTTTTACAGGATTATCTTTTAAAAAACAAGTCAGCCAGAAACAGCCTTTCCAACCAATTTCAGAAAGCTTATGTTAGCTTTGTTATAATTGCACACAATCTAGCTACATTTGTACAGATCCATTTGTCATTTCAGCTGGCAAAACCAATGAAGAGAAGTGTACTTTTGTCTACCCACATCTGAAACCACTAACATCGCTTCAAAATGTGCCACTCTCACTATAACCTGTGCCATAGAGAACAGAAAACTGGTACTGAAATGAAAACAGGTGTAGCATCAGTAGCTAAGGTGGGCGGGGCTCAGCAAATTCTAGAACCAAATTCCACTTAAAATCAATTTCTATCAATTTCTGTCTACATCTTTTTTCTCAGCTACCTTATATTTTTCTTACTAGATAATATCAAATGTCTTGCCAAAGTGCTGATGTTCCAATGTGAAAACACAATTATGCACAGTTCATTGTGCAGCCTGCTTCTTTTTTTTCCAAAGTGACAATTGGTCGTGTTGTGGCTGGGAATTGTGGGGTGATGATGTGGTGTCATCTGAGGACAGACTGAGGAGGAGGAGAAGCAACAAAAAATAGGGATATTGTTCAAAATTAGCTGTTTTCCACTGTGGGACTACAGCTTGTTGACACCAAGGAGGGATAATGGGACATTTCATCCCACTTAATCTGACCAGTGTTGCAACCCTTTCACAAGCCCGGTCCAACATGAACAGCCTGACTTGGCAGCCAGTGAAGGCTCGTGTCGAGGAGAGTTTAACAGTCAGGGTCAAAGGTGCTTCTTCCTTCTCTTATAAAGTGGTAGCCTCAAGGCCTTGTTCCAAACAGGGAGGATCAGTGGGTTGACAGCAATGAGGCTAACCAGCAACCTTGGGATCTGTCTTTGGCAAGCCATTGCTGCTGCTGAGCAATATGAGGGGGAAAAATGTGTTCAAAGACGACCACGTAGCCCAGAGGCCACAGGAAGAGAAACAGCCAGCAGGAACACTCTGAGAGCCAGGACTGAATACACTGACATGCAGCATGAAGGATGCAGGCTTTGCTATGCACGGCGAGTCTCAGCCTTAACAAGCAGAGCAGAGGCACCGGCGTAAATGAGTTGTAGATGGGTGGAAGCCAGCAGGCATGACATTCTCTCCATTAAAAACTCATCTCTTATCCCAAGCCCAGATTGGAAATTAAGGTTTGTTGCTAGTGAATGGATTGGTACCTCAGTGGATTTGTGAGTTTGCACTCCATGTGAAAATGAACACACATTAGTATGAAATAAGTTCTACCTCCTCACTACAAAGAGAGGAGAAGTGAAAGGAGAAATGGCTTTCTCTCCACTACTGAAGGCCGGTGGCAAATCACCACAGCCACAATACCAACCTGCAGCATTTTGACACAATAGCTGCTCAAATGATTTGTGACAGCAGCACAGTGGCCTCTTATTTTGTCTAAATTAATATTCACCCAAATACTGTTATAAGAAAAAAAAAACCCTGAAAACAGATTAAATAAATACTACAATTCACACAGTGATGTCTAGATAACACATTTCATTCTGCTTTTATTGCTTTTTACCTCATCAGTAATGAAACGTGGGTAAATTGAAATGTATTTCAATAGAAGAGAGAGTAAAGTAAAATACTGACTGAATAAGATCATTGTCAGTCCTTGTGGAGACACATGTGGTGGCGGGGGGGTGGAGGTAGAGAAACAGAGATGTGAAACATCTGCTGGAGCCAGCAGGAAACACAGCTGCACGCAGCGACCTTTGCGAAGCATGCAAACAAGCACATGCACAAACTGCAGCTACCGACAATAAATCTTATGATAACAACAATAAATAAAATGCAAAACAATGTCCACCTTAAGTCGGAGAAGCAAACCCATGGTTTCGAAGCTGTGTGACGTGCACTAATGAATTTCTTTCAGCCACTCGGTATGACTATGCTCTCTGCTGGTAATAAGTACTTAACAAAGTGACCTACTGGGGTATTGACCTGCTAATCATGGAACTTCGGCGGAGAATAGGCAGCCTTTAAGCAACATCAAAAGAACAGCTGGAGGCTATGAACCCAACCCCCTCTTTTTGAATATGCATGTTTGAGTGTAGCCCTTTCCACACATCCTGCCACTGTACTGGTTCAACTATCCAGGTAATGCAGTGGTTCGTTTAAGTTCTTCAGATGTATTGTCATGAATTCTCACCATGGCTGCTTTAGACTTTCAACTTTATTTTGCAGCTTAATATCAATTAATATTCATCACATTGACTGGGTTTTTTACTGTACCACAATGTGGGGATTTGATTCATTTCAGTGCCCAAACTACCTGTCAAGACATCCATGAGCCATGCTCATTTTTTTCTCATCAGTTATTTCAGTGCATTAGAAATTTCTACCTTTTACTGAGTTCTGTTGCATAGAAACTGCTACAATAGCATTAGAAAAACAGCCTATTGACAACACATCAACGGTGACCTGTTATAAAACTAAAAGTTTATGACTACACTTGCCTGACAGTGTGATAGTGCTTTCACACATGGACAGCAACCAACGTATCTAGACATGACTCGGGGGAGCTGTGTGTGAATGTAAATGTCCAAACCAGTTGGACCGGAAATTAAACGATCTTTACCCTGCCAGCGCTGTATTATAAAGTCAGTGTAATTTTCGATTGATTGATTGTCTATAGAATTCACAGAGAAAGAGTGGGTGTGTTGATGACACTCCTGTACACTCTACCCAGGCGCCATGGACAATCTCCTGATGTGTGCTACTTGTGTTAAAGGGCAACTCCCGAGTCCAGAGGTCATATGTGAAAACAGCAAGAGTCATCCCTGCTGGCATTCACGCATACCCTACATTATGTCCAAAAGTACCCTGAACTTTAAGTCCCAAGAACTTAAAGGTTCCTTCAAACAGCTGGTTGCCTGTGTTTCCTCTGCGGTCTAAAGACACAAGAAGGTCAGGCTAATTAGCCTACTGACAACTACACAACAACGATGACGCCATATTACCTCTGTTATTGTGGACTTTTCTGAGGTCTTGTTTCAGTTTCTTAAGCTTCTCCTGGCTGCACTGTTTCACAGTGTGAATAATGTTCAGTTTGCTTAACTTGCAGGAGATTTTTGCATGCAGTATACTTTGTCACTGTGGGTCGCATTTCCATTTCCCTCTGGATCTCCTCTTCAGCATGAATTTTAAAAGGGGCCTGGACTTTGTTGTTGGTATATCTGTTGTATGCTTTCTTCTACAGATTTGCAAATGCTGGAGTGCTCGACCTATCAGAAATGTTCAGCGCTGCAAGCCCCAGACCAAAGGTTCCTTTAGTTTTGGAAAGCACTACCCCCCAATCAGGGAGGACCTTTTTGGGGGTACCTGGTCCCTGTGGTGGAAATGCACAGAGTTCCTTTAAAGGTTCCTAGTTGCTGCAGTTGAAATGAAGCCACACCGTATGATTTTTACTGGCGAGTGAAGGTTTTTCTTGGAAGCAGAATACTAAAACCTTTTACACGGATTACCCACAAACATTGATGCTTCTGTTTCCACTAGACAGTTAAGAAGACAATTTATGGAAATCTTACCAGCATGTCGGCAAGTTGAGGAAGGCAGACGCGCATTAAATCAGCTCCTGTTCACACGTAACACTGACATGTAAAATTGCCAGATTGATTGCCAATTGAAAATGCACAAAGGCTGCTCACATCCCAAGCATCCTTTATCCTTTCAGCAGAACAGTTGGGGATCACCAAATGGCAGAGAGGTCACAGGTTTCATCACAGCTGCTGCTGCGCTCCCAGTCACATGTCCTGTGATGGAGACTGAACCCCTAAATGCTTGTTTAACTGTAAGCCACACTTGAGAACATAGTGTGCTAAATGCCATTAATTTAAACAGCATATTTATCATGCAGAGTTTCACTCTGTTATTTTAAGGATCTTCCTCAATTAACAGAAAGAGAATCAGCCTTTACTTACATTCTTTACCCATCACCTCCTCATTAGAAATCCTTCTTTAGCCAAAGTAATTCTGCAAGAACATGAAGGCCTTTGCCTCCAGTCTCCTTCCTACAGCTTGTTTCTAAGTTAATGAACTAGAAATTTAGACTTACAAACTAGGGCCATTGTCTTTAGTCACTCCGTGGCAAAATTCCCAAAATGTGTATTTTTAAAACATATAATTACAGGCCAACTACTTAACCCCTATGAGCTATCTCACTGTGAGCTGCTGTGATAAGTGTCTAAAATCTGATGTCTAATGAGGCCTGACTGCCCGCCTGGTTCCACTGAAGAGTCTGACTGTAAATCACAGATAAGGTTGTCTGGATGATTAATGTGTGAGCCAGTCTCGCCTTTAGAGACATACACACACAAAAACACACATGTGTCTGACTTATCTCATTTCCTGTGTGCCTTCCTCACCTGCTAGTGATAGGGGACCAGTGTGACCACTCAGACACCCCAGAAATGTCCCCAACTCACACACGGACACACACACACACACGCACACACACACGCGCACACACACACACACACCTCAGTAAATATTAATCATTGAAAGCAGGTTCTTCAAAGCCAAAGTAAAGAGACGTCTTCCAGATAGCTTTAATGCTAAATGGAATTTTATTTAAAACTGATTCAAAACCTCAAAGAATTGAGGAAAGTATATATTTATAAATAAAGCAAAACAAAATTAAGGACAACAGGAAATTACCTGAGGCTAGGGCTGAACGATATGCAGAAACTAATATGCATACATATACATATACATATATATATATATATATATATATATATAGTGATTATTTTGGCAGATATTGGAATTGCCATATGAGTCAGTGTTTCAGTTGGGATGATTGTTTTTGTATTTCATTTTCAATGAAAAACATTTTAAAATGATGATGATGTGATTTTTGTTGGGTTTTGTACCAAACAAGCATGTTCCCTTATGTCTGGAGAATATGATTTTTTATATCTCTGTAGCACCACAACGCTTATTTTGTGAGACATATTACCTTTATCAAGAAAATTGCAGCGCCTGCAATTTGGATATTACATTTGCCCGTATTGCAATTTCAATTATATTTCGATTAATTGTGCAGCCCTACCTGACACTATGGTTTATTTCTGGAAAAAACTGTCATGTTCTGACGGAGGAAATCAGGCATCTCGGGTCTTCATTCACAAGTGGGGGTAAGAAGGATCGTGAAGTTGCACTAGGTGCAGAAAGCTGCACTGTATAACGGCCTGTGATGGCAACCAGGAATTTTATAAACTTTCAGTTCATAAGTTGACCCTCACCTATGGTAAGAAGCTTTAGGTATATACAAAGCAGGAGGCTGTATCCACACTTACACATTTTTAAAACTATCTCCATACACTATCTGTTTTAGCTCTGTATCATCTCTGTCCATACCTAACATGCCTGAAAATGCATATCACATGACCATTCATGTACACTTGGCATGTGCATGCCGGTGTAAACAGGAAGCAGATTGCCTACTAGTACCATGAGTATAAGGCGGTCATGGCAGCAGAAAACATGGATTGGGAGAAGGATACTTTTTGACTGATAAGACCCAATCAGGGAGCGAATGTGGGTGTCTGCGCCATCGTTTTCCAAAGGTCTCCGTTTCTGCCTGTCTAGACTTTAGCGCACCCCTGAAGTTTTCAAACTAAAACTAAAACTGGAAGTCTCGGTTTTAGGGGCTAAAAACGTGGCGTAAACATAGCAAAAGTGATTAGTTCTAAAACAAAATTAGTATTAGTGTGGATGTAGCCTGAGGCTGCTGAGATAACCTCTGCAGGGTGGTTGCCACATTCTGCATGACACAGTGGGTAGTTCAGCGATGTGAGAGGGCATCAGCAACAAGCTGCACCTCCTACACATGAACCACCTCATCTGGCTCCACTGGGTAGCAGACCACCCAGGTGCCTCCCGCTGAAGGCATATCCAGCACAATCGACTGAGGGGACAACTTGAATAAAAAAAATAAAAGAAAACAACTCTCCAGGGAGAGTTAATGGAACCCCAACACCTGGGGAAAGATAACACGGTAGAACTTTGGTTGAGGCTTGACAAATGAATCCACCACATCCACAAAGTTTCTCTTGTTGCTCATCTCTCTTGTCTAAAATCCTTGTTACTGCACAATGAAGGCCTTTTACTCTTCTGTCAAACATCCAATACACCAGTAGACACTGTACCTACACAAAATTAATTTTGAAGTACAGCATGTTCTTTTACACACACAGGGTCTGCATGATCAAAGTCTTTCAGCTCACTGTTAACAAGAACATCCAGCAATCAAGAGGTCATGCATCCTCTCTGCACCAAGGCACCGAGCTCTTTGCTGTAATTACCTGCTCACCTATTGATTTGGAAAAATGGCACAGGTCCTGGTAAACTATAACTCAATAGTCCTTTTCTGAAGAATTATTTAAGTCACAAGGCCCCTAAATGGACCAGTCTTTGATCGGGCTGTTGCTATTTGCTGTTTTCAACCCAAACCTGAAGGGAGAGATAAATCATATGAATGGATGAATCCACCATGCTGCATGCTGTCATATCAGTAGTCTTGTTTTTGTCACATGTTAGTCATTTCTTAAATTATCTGGATCTATTTTTGTAAAATCACCAGACCATCAAGTGGTTCTTATTTCATTTAATTGATACCATGTAAAACATGACCACTAAAATACACAGTGGAGGACAGTATGAAGAGCGCAGGCTGTTATGCATATTTGCTCATCAGCAAACATTAAACAGCCAGTCGATTTGCATGCATGTTGTGTTTTCCTTCTTCTCTGGCCCTATACACCTACACAGTTGATTTTAGTTATTCCAGTTAATATGACCTCTTCTCCAGTTTGAAGCAGGGGTGTCGCAGTATAACATTATTGACTGATAATCGTGATATCTAAAAAAAAATCAAACATTAATATTGTGTTAATAATACACATATGATTATACAGTGGTGGCAGATGTTAGGCCTTGTGGATCTTTTGATTATCAGTTCATCTTGTTGCCTTTTCACTATCCATTAAGTGTAATTCTTCTTTCTGTCCACTTTGTAGAGATGTGGTTACAGACTCTCTCTGCACCTCCCTACACTCAAAGTCATTTGCCAAAAAACAGACAAAACAGATAATAAAAAGAGTTCAAGATGAATTTGACTGACATTTTTCATTATCATTATTATCCTTATATTATTATCATTTCATTTCTTCTGCAAGTATCGCAATAATAATAATAATTATCATGGATTTTTTTTGGCCATGATAATCGTGTTGTGAGAATCTGATGTCGTGACAGTCCTACTTTGAAGTCAGGGGGAGATATTCTAGGAATGACATGAGGTCACCAAACTCTATACTAACTATACTAATAATAATGATGAAGGTGTAAGTTGTCCCGCAGCAAATGAACACTCTGCTCCACACCAACATAGTCCTGAGCAGAGGTTTAATCACACAGTCAAGACACCTGTGTGCACTGGAGAACACTGTCCGTGTAAGCATGAATGGTTATACTTACATACAATGGAGCTTGCTGTGGGTTGAGTTTCATGTCCCTGGACACTGTGAAGAGAAGAGAGAATGAGTAGTTACAGCTCATTGTCATGTTGATATACTGTATTCTTCATATGAAATAAGATTATGTCTTGAAGCAATATTAATAGATTCTTTTGGGCTACGTGGAGCAGTGCAAGTTGATATGGCTAAAATGTTAACAAACAGTAGCCCATTAAGCAACAGACACTGAGCAACATTAGCATACATTTGAAGACATGTGTCTGGCTTCCTGACAAATGTAAGTCTAATATACACTCTCATTTTAGCTCTGCTTTGCTCTCCACCAACTCCTGAGAGAAATATCTGGCTTTGAAGCTGCTGAAGTCATCACTGTTGTTTGATGCTGGACAGGTAGGTGCAGCAGTTTGGATATATCAGAGGTTTTTCACTGAAACCAACTGCCTGCTGTGGCTGGTAATAATTCTCTGTGGGTTCATCACTACAAGTGACTCCTCTCACATTACAGAGTAATTTGAGCCGTTCTTCAAATACTCAGGTAAACTGACTGTATACTGCCCGCTCAGTACCAAATGGAAGACAGACAGTATAGTTAGCCGCTAGCTCGTGAACACAGTGGAGCATGTGGCTGTCAAACAGGAAGACAGTTACCTTGGATGCCGGTGTACACCAAAACATGACTAAAAGATAAGTAAATATTACTGAACTATAACATTATTATGAGAATGTCAGTATTACAGATCTCAAGCAGTTGACAGATGGAAAACAGAGTGGTTTCAAATCATAGCGCAGAGTGAACAGTCATCACTGATTGAAAAAAACAATCGGTGTGTTGCTTCAATCGATGATCTGATCACCAATCAGCACAAGCCTGGTGAATATCAAACAAATTCACCAGGTGACCATAAACACAACTTCAAATGATGATCAGTGCCTGTCTAAATAAGGGTTTGCTAACAAATCAGCCATAACAAGTTCCTGTCCTGAGGTGATAATATGTTATGGGTTCTGTTTTAATCTTATTACAGTGCCCCCAGGTACCAAGAGTTAAATGAGAAGATCGATAAAAAATACAAAATATTTTGCACCATCCAAAAATGAAAAGGCCACTTGAGGAGGAGATTTAACTAAATACCTGTTGCACTAATGCCACATTCACACAATATTGTTTGTCAACCTCCAACTTGTGACTCAGAGACTGACATATCAGCAATTTCTCACACTGACGATACACACACGTCAACAAACAGGCGAAAGAGAATCCAATATTAACACTAATACAATACATTCCACTCATTTTATAGGAGCTATACCCTGTTTGTATCTGGTTTCACTTGGTAACAAACTTCTACAAATATGTAACACAACACCAGAAGCTAATTTAGGATGTTTATCTGGTGTGACTACAACGTTAGGACTCTGGTTAACCACCTTGGAGTAATGCGTAACATTGTATACATGCAGCCAAACAAGCAGTACCTTATATTTCTTTAAATATATGGCTACAGTCAGCAGCCAGTGAGCTTAGCTTAGCATAAATGCCCGAAAGGGGAAAACAGCTAGGCTGGCTATGTCCAAATGTAACATAGTCCACCTACCAGCACCTCTAAAGCTCTGTAATTAACACCTCATATCCTGTTTGCAGTCTTTGTGCTAAGCTAAACTAAAAGTTGTAGCCTGGTTTAGTGGCAGCACTCCTCTTGTGTAACAAAGCACATTTCCCAAAATGTCAAACTACTGCTTTAAAGCTACATTATTCTTAATGTACTAATAATGTTAAGTAATACCCTTTGACTACAACCTATTATTTTGAATAATGCTGGTCAACTGCTGCTATCTTACAGTTACATAGACCTGACCTTTGATCAGATATTAATTAAGTTAGGTCAAACGTCTAAAATATCAGAATTGTTCTTTTCTCAGTCAAATGAGCTGCTTTAGTGTTTTACTAGAGTTAAACCTGCAAACAAATTTCTCTTGAAAACATAAGGTAACTTTTTCCAACACAATACATCTACTCAGAACTCTGTTTTCGACAAGGTGACATTAGGCTTGACCCTCGCAGCCCAACACTCTGTGGGAGGTTGATAGTGCTTGAGTACAGAACATACACACACTGAATCACACACACACTGAATCACACACACACACACACACACACACACACACACACGAGCACACACTCTCATCATCCAACCAAAACTGCCAGTTCTCCATCTGTGCTTGTTTACACAAAGATGCCGCAGCAATGATAACAAACTTTTTGTGAGCTCCGAGGCTCCTGTTTTCTCCAATCACCCATCAACTCTTCTTTGAGCAAAAAATGATAACGGAGGTAAACCACTAAAACACACTACTTTGCTTCTTCAGCATGGGTTTATGCCGGGAAGATCAGTTAGCAGGATTTACCGGCTCATGTTCACGTTTGACTCCCCACTCCCCGTCTGGGACGCAGGCCTCAAAGCCGTTTTCTGGGCACAAGGTCAGAAGCAGTGGGTGTGTAATTACATCCAAACAAACGTATTACAGCTATAGACTTGAGGACAAATGGATTGGAAACCTTTTTGTTGAACTTTCTTGAGGAGATATTGGCCTGCTTGCATTCATCAATGAGGCAAGGGACTGGTCGGCTTTGAGAGCCTGCATTCTCCTCAGCTATTTAGAGAGACAATTTTCTTTTGTTTGCTGTTCCCTGGCACTAAAACAAGTCCTTGCTGTTGGCCTCAGTGGTCAGCAGTGCATTAATCACATGCACCCCACAGCGGAGGAGGCGGAGACAAAAGGCCAGGACCTAATGGGTTCAGCAGAGTACACCAAAAGAGTCAATGTTGGACTCGACAGAGCGCTGAAGTGCAGCAAGACCAATTCACTTTCTGCAGCGAAAACCAAACATTTTTCCACTTTTCTGCTAAATAAATAGGCTCGAGCTAGAATTAGGCGGATCAGGTAAGGGGATAATCAGTAGCTCTAATAATACTCTGAAGTCTAATCCTCTTGCCTTAAGTGCACTGGGCCAGGGACCAGCTTCCTCACAACATGCACGACTTTGACTGATAAGACTCTCACATAATGTCCCCAACTGGCTGCTCACTGCTTCTTTAATGTGTTGATATTTTGGACGTTTGTCTTCTGCTGCTGCTCTATGACCAATGCACAGCATGTGAGCACGCATGGGTTGGGGTCTTACTCAAAGGGCACTTCGATCTACATCACTGTCGACTCTTGCAGGTGTTGGACCTTTGCACCCTTCACTTATTGGCCCCTAGATGACCCAACTCATTGCACAATAAGAAAATATTTGGTAGGAAGTTAGTGCATCGCTACATTCACAGTTTTCACTGCTGAGGACGGAGTTGATAACATTTATTCATCCGCTTTGTGCCTTTTATCAGCTCCACCCTGCTTTACATCATCTACATATTCACACCTGGCAGCTGCACATAAGAGTTCAGTCTGCAACTGTAACGGTCGCTTTCTTAGCTCAGGAGCACATCAGCAGTTGTTAAGGACACTGTAAGTGTGCACCTGCGGCCAAAAATATGTTAAGCTTTGAATCTTTTCTCTTCATGAAAAAATCTTCAGTTGATGTTTTTAGTTTCAAATTATCTTTTAGGGATAATGGCATTTACAGCGTCAGATGTCTTCATGCTCTATAACTAAATATATACTAGTCAGTTGGCCTAATGGTTGCAGAGCAGGAGGGATGTGACTATTCTTTAGATCAATCAGTGAGTCAGTACATTAAACAGTAAATACAGGGTTTAATTACTCTATCAACAGCACAATGTGTGGGTCCATGTGCCATTTTCAAATACCAAAATAATACTTTTATCTCACATTTTAGGCATTTCTGTTGACAAAGTTATGTAGGTCAAGTGAGCAGGTCAAGCTTAGTTATACTTCAGCAAGAAACACATGGGCTTCAACCATCAGGCTTTTCAAAACAAGCCACCTACTCCTCACCCACCCCTGCTCTTTAACAGATAAAAGGAAGCTGATTCAGTGTACTGCATCATCACAGGATGAAACCGCTCCACTGGTTACTATGGATTCATAGGGAGAGCAGGCTGTAACATTACAACATACTTTCAAAACTTCCTCTTTAGTGCGGCTGTAAAGCTAAGCTAGTTAGCCAGTTTAAAGAAGCAAACATCCTCCCACCAGAGTAGACCTGTGTAATCTAGAAGTAAAGCTGAAATATAGTTGATCAGGTACCATTATAGTCTAAATACATTTACAGAATTAACAAAATACTACGTATAAACACAAAATTATTAACATACCCCTGTTATTAATGGACAGGAAAACAAGAAAAATAAGAAGATGGAGCATTTACCTTTTTTTCAATAGTGCAATTCAATTCACTAATGCATCGGTCTGGCCCAACGTTTATAGGGCTAATAACAAATTCCAGCTAATCAAGCAGGTAAGGCTAATGTGTTAGCAAATAATTGTCTACAGTCATGTGTCTCACCACCTGATGAATGAATGTCTAATATTCAGCCACATTTAAGTTTTACTTTGGTATCCAGCGGCTCCTGAGAAACTAACTGCACATGTACCACGTTAGATGTTTACTGTACCAGGCTCTAGTCTATTTTGGTTCATGTTTTGCTGTCACCATCTGCCAACAGATTTATATGAGGGGTGTAGTGAGAGAGGAGGCGTTCAACCAGACAGTAAATCAAACCAAAGTAGAACAATGAGCTAAAAGAGGCTACGAGTTGTGTGGATCCACAGAGATGAGAGTTAATTCTCTGTATGTTCATGACCACAAGAGACTCTTTCACTAGCTGAATTCACTTCATTCTTTCATATCATATCAAACATATCCCTTAATGCAGGTTTGATATCTATTCTCCTCACTGCCTTGAGTGTATTTTCTCCAGTCAGCCTCATGACCCTACAGTAAAGTGGGTGTGACAGTTCATCTGGTCATACACTTCCTCTTGGCCAGCAGAAATAATTTAGAAAGCACACAGAGGGAATTGTGAAATAGCTACATCTGTAGGTCATTTATATCTACAATTCCTGATA